CCACCCCCAGCCCTGGGCCGGCCCCAGCGGCGCCGTGTGTCTGTCTTGCAGGTGCTGCCCCTGTTCCGCGCGCTCGGCGCCAGCGGCCTCCTGGTGGAGTACGAGGACACGTTCCCGTACGACGGGGAGCTGCGGCCGCTGCAGGCGGAGCAGGCCTACAGGTACCGTCGCGGGGCTGCTCGGCTGCCGGCCGCTCGGGGACCGGGGCGGGGTTAGGTGGGATATTAGGGAAAACTTTCTCACGAGGAGAGTGGCGAAGCCCTGGATCGGGTCACCCGTCCGGAGTGGGGCTGGGAGCTCCGTCCTTGGAGGTTTTCAAGGCCCGGCTTGGCAGAGCCGTGGCTGGGATGATCTAGTTAGGACTGGGCCTGCCTCGAGCAGGAGTTGGACTAGATGTGACCTCCTCTGTCCCTTCCAGCCCTCGGCTTCTCCGCTTCCCACCTAAAGAAGCGGAGCGGCAGGTTGCCAAGCTCGGATGCGCCGCAGCCCCGTCGGGGACAGGAGGGTTCAGGGGCTCCTCATTCTAGTCCCGCCATGGCCACCAGCACCTTCTGTGGCACTGGGACAGCCTGAGCCTTGCTTTTCCCATGTTGTGTGGGGTGTTGTGCCCTCAGTAAAAGGCTTGGGGAAATGTAAAGGGCAGAGTGCCAACTGTATGTGCCAGGCCAACACCCCTTATGGTATGACACAGCTGCTTAAGATGACAGCTCTTAAACTAGAAATAAAGGAGATAAAAACACCTGGTCAGTAAGGCTCCTGGGACAGTTTCCACAGAAATAGGTGTCCAGGCCAAGTGCCAGTCCAGGTGCTTACATTCTTCTGCATAACTTTTTCCCCTTGCGCTTGCCATTTCAGAAGTTAACTTCTTGTCTCCGTGTTGCTGTGCATTGGCGTTCCACGTTTACTGGGATTTCTTAGTGTACAGCAAACCACAGTCTCTGCAGTCACTAAAGGTTGGGAAAAACTGTGGGATAAAACAAGTGGTGTATATATTAGAGCAGCGGTTCCCAATCTGCAGTACAGGTACCACCAGTGGTGCTCAAACAACCTGTCAGTGGTATGCATTTAACAGATGTATAATTACTTTATATGACAAAAATTTGCTGGTGGTACTTAAGGTTGTATCATTTTAAATTGGTGGTGCGCAATCTGCCAGAGTTTGGGAACCACTGTATTAGGGTATTCGCTTTCTGAAGCAGGCAAGCTACTGGTGCTGGTTGACTCTAGATGCTCAGTACCAGTACAGATAACCAAGTACCCTGCCTGATGCAGTTCCCTTCTTTCTTTTTAGCCTTTCAGAAATTAAAGAGATATTAAACCTGGCAAAATTGCACAAATTAGAAGTTATTCCTTTGGTGCAGACGTTTGGACATATGGAAGTAAGTGCATCAATCCAAGGTGTCCTCATGTTGGGGATATTGAATAATTCCAGGAACTCTGCAGAGCATGGAGCTACCCTGAGCCACTGACACTTCTGTTGTTCAGAATTTAGGAATTATTAAACCATTTAAACAGGATCCTCCATCTAGCAACCCAGAGTTTTTTGCAGCCACTAATGAATTCATCCTGTCAGTCTGCTAGTGAGGCAGGCATTAACCCCACTTCCAAACAGCGAGAGCTGAGGCAAAGAGAGGGTGTGACATTACAATGGATGTAAATGTAGAATAAGGACTAGAATCCAAACTTCCTACTCCCCAACAAGCCTTTACAGCAAGATAATTCTTTGCCTGTTAGTAGATGAGTTCACAGAACTCTTCTGTTGGGAAACTCCCCATTACCTACTCTGCCACCCCATTCATTCCTCTCCCGTGTGCTGGGAGCAGAGATGATGCAGCTTGAACCTCCTGAATTATCCACATTATTGCCTCATGTTGGTGGTAGTGATGAGATGGAGAGAGAAGTACGTGCAGTTGTTTCTGACCTGGGAGAGCAGCCACTGCTGTGTGATACTTGGAATGAGATGCTTGATGGAGGGGTGAAGAAAAGCCAGATGTGTCCTGCCTATGCTATGCTTGGCTCTGACCAGGCCTCTCATTTTCACCCTCTCATTTCATGAGCAAAGCAAGAATCCTTCCTGATTCCCAAAACAGTAACCGTTAGCAGAGTCTGTTGGGCAGTACTGTCTTGTGTCTGTCACTTGCGTCTTCCACTTGTTCTGTGGTTATAGCTGTGAGTTCTCCTTTTTCCTGCAGTTTGTGCTAAAGCACAAAGAATTTTCCCACCTGCGGGAGGTGAAGGCATTTCCAAATGCTCTTAATCCGCACAAAGAGGAATCCCGGCTGCTGGTTAGAAAAATGATTGACCAGGTGGTGGCACTGCACGATGGCTTACAATGGTTTCACATAGGCTGTGATGAGGTAGGATTCTTATGGCATGCTGTATTGTACAGTGGGGGCTCATTTGGGCAGATCAGAAACTCCCTGCCATCACCAACCTGACCAGTCTCCCCCAGGGGCTAATATTCTCACTGCAGAGTCTCTGGGAAGTGCTCAATAATGAATTAAACCACATGAGAATATCCCCAACCACCTTCACTACTTTTAGCTATCACAGCACCAGTTCCTTACCGCCTGTAAGTCTTCATGTGGCTCTTAGCCTCTTACAGAAGCTCCTTGCACTGGAGTGCCTGCCCACTTTGTGATGGCACTTGAATAAATTTACAGGTTAATTTATCAAATTATAGGGACGCCCAGTACCTACTACTGGGTCAATGGCATTCGAACTAGAAGGCTTCCTAGAAAACTCTGCACTCTTGGGAACAGATAAGGAGATGGATTAAAACAGCTCCCAGCACAGTTTCTACATGACCTGCATCTCTGACCCCTCTATGGGTTCCCCACTGAAGTAATGGTTAGAGACCAGAGATGTTTTCAGGAAAAGGAATCTGCATTCTTTTCGCTCTAGACCTGGCCCCTTGTCTGCAGTCCCCTGCAGTTTTCTTCAGGCACCACAGTAAGATTTAGTTGTCTGTGAGAAGCAGTGACAGGAGTGATTTAGTGACTAGCCAGCTTTCATAAACCAAAGAACTAGCTAGTCAAAGTGAAAGCATTCTAGAGAGAACACACCATAAAACAATGAAGAGCTTAAAGCAGGGGTTTCAAAAATATGGCTCATGGGTCAGATTCATCATCTAGCCCCCAGTGCTGCCTTTGGGTGTGATCATCCCCACACAGGCATGGTGTGCGCCCATGGTGCAGGGCCAGCCCATGGGCTGAATTTGGCCCATGGACCCCTTTCCCTTCCCCAGTCCAGCTGCGGCAACCAACATGTGCAGCGCTGCTGCTGTGGCTAGACTACACTGCATGTGGCACCTCTTCCAGATGTTTTGGGATCCACACTGCCAAACCAACTAGAACAGTCACTAGATCAGATGTACTGGAGGAGGAGGAAGGGGAGGGGGCCATCGGACCCATGGACTGGCCCAATGCCACTCATCCGACCTGCAGGGTTGTTTGAGTTTGGCTCCCCTGACTTTAAACACAAACCTGTTTTACCATGCAGACATCCAGCATTTCCACTGAGACTGGTACAGCTCGGTACATCAGACCATCTCGCAGGGTCTCTCCATGTCGGTCATGCTCCCATGTCAGTTTTTGAATGAAGTGAGAATGACTTCTTTCCCTGAGTCAGGACCTTTATATGTCTCAGGTCCTTTTGAATTGGCAGGTCTCCTGAGTTAGGTGAAGCCAGTAAAAACTATTTGTCTAGAGGGCAAAGCATCAGAAGGCTAATATTTGCAGTAATCCAGTGGTGGGAGCTGGCATTGCCCCTCTGTGATTTTATTTCCTTGTAGGAAATATGCTGTACATGGCCTACTCAGCCAGAACTGTAATTGCTTGTAAGCTATGCAAGGATGTGTATAATGTGCAACATTCGTATAACAGGTTTTTGTCCCAAGACTGTTACATCATAGTAATATCAAATATTTCACAATATTGTGTCTGTCTCACTTGTTCTTCCACAGTAAAGCAGGGTCTTTTGTTTGGTACTCCCAGGTCTACTACCTTGGTGATGGGGAGGAATCAAAGCAGTGGTTGCAGCAACAGGAGAATAACCCAGAGAAGTTGTTCCTGTCCCACGTAAAAGCTGTGGCCAGTTTCATTGCCTCATCTTATCCCACAGTGAAGCCCATAGTATGGGATGACATGCTCAGAGGGATAAATGATGAAACATTGACAGGTGAATGATTCGGGAGGGGTGTCTCGTGTTCAGAGACTTAAAAACCATTAAACTGTATTGTTTGAAACAGGCTGTACTGCACAACTCCCCTTTCAGTAGGGGCAGGAACAGTAACAAATTATTCATTTCAAATAGCAAAAGGGAAAAGAGGGATGGTTTAGCGATGAGGCATTAGCCTAGGACTTGAGGGACCTGGCTTTGATCACTTACTCTGCCACAGGCTTCCTGTATGACTTTGATTGAGTCACATTGTCTCAGTTTCCCCTCCGTAAAATGTGGGTAACAACACTGCCCTTCCTCATAAGGGTGCTGTGACTGAGAGATGGTGAGGCATGGTGGTAAAAGGATCCATATAAGCAGCTAAAGTAGAGAAGTCACTGCTCCCTTTGTGGTGGTTTATGGAGTAAAGCCTTGTCTTTGTTCATTTAAAAAAATAAATCAAGGCAGAGTTTTGCTTCCATGCCCTCAGCCTACATCCATGGCTTTTTGGGCACAAGGTGACCTAGATAGAAGCAGCTACCTTCCAGGGGTGCAGTTTCGTGGAAAGAAGCTATGACCCAGTATCTTTGACATGGCACATTATCACTGCACATGTGGCGGCGTGTCGCACACTGACCTTAGGGATTACTCAATGGCCTTGTTCTGCCCTCACTTTGTTTCTGGAAAAAAAATCCAACTCCTGCCAAACCTGGAGCAGCATCAGACAAACAGGGCTCCAGGCAGCCACCAGCATTCTCCCTATTGTATTGTGGAGACCTGGTCTGAACAGACATGGGCAACACCATTACAATATTGATGGCCACCTGTAGACCCATCACCGTTGACTGAACTGTGCAAGCGCTAGCCATGGTGGGAAATCTAACAGTGGGAAATGGAGGCAAAACAAATGAATCTGCTGTAAGGCTGGTACAGCATCCATCTTGGTGCACCCTCCTGCTCTAGCTGAGAAATTGAACTGTTGACCTGATCTAGGTCAACACAGTGCTGAATTATGGCAGAGTTGACTATGGTGTGGCTGGGGCTGCTTTCTCAAGGCCTGATTCTCTAACACTTCAATCCAGGTGAATGAGTCTGTTGCAGACTAACTTGGAGTCAGCCTACACCTGTTAGTTGTAGTAGTGTTGTATTGCCAGAGAGCCTCAAAGCACCAGGACCCTAAAGCAGCAGGCATGTTACACTACAGTCCCTGCCCTGCATGTATACAAACAGCAAGTTAGTAGAAGTTTTAGGTGTGCAAAGAGTGCATGATTGTGCCCTTTCCTCCCATTATCAAATGTACTAATAAACCCAGAGAACTAAGATAAAATTCTGATTCAAGTAATTGCATTTACATCACAACACAGTTTTCTAAGTTCAAGTACCAGCTATCAAATGTGCCCAGAGGAATGGTAATAAGATGGACTGAAATGCAGCTTTTTCAGTCTTGCCAATGGAATAGTGTCTGTCCGATGAGCTATCTCTACTTGGCTCCCTTGTTGGCAATTTCAGGAGAAAGCCTGAACAAATAGATCTTGGAGCCTGAACTGCCTCTTCCCACGATTGATATCTCACTAAGCCAGGGCTTGGCAGGGAGAGGATCTGCAGAAAGTACACAGTAGAGCTGTCTGTTCTGTACCTGTAAAATATTATAGTCTGGGCCTGGCAAGCATTAGCCATGGTGTGATGCATGTATCGTTGCACCATTAACCCAGATTCTGGTCTGTGCCTTAAGTTACCACTTTGCTTCACTTAAACAAATGTTTCCCTTTCCAGAATCTGGGGTACCAGAGCTCGTGGAGCCAATGATTTGGGACTATGCAGAAGATATCGATGTAGACAGCAAAGGTTTGTACTCTTTCTACTGAGCTGCTTAGAGGAAGCAAAGAGCTTAATTAACTCTTTAAAAATGGCCACATTCCCAAAATTATAGTCTGTGGTGCCTGGACAACAAAAATGTCTGCTTTATTAAACAGACCCTCCCTGAATTCATTAATTGTTTTAATAAGTGACTATAAAAACATACAGATTCTGTTAGAATCTCCACGATGGTTTATTGCTTTTGAGACGATTTTGAAAGAAGCATGGCCCTTCTCTAGTAGAAGGGAAGAAATAGAATATATGTCACAAAACCTTAGTCTGCACTTCTGTTAAAAAGGATAGAGACATCTATGCCGTAAGGTATTGCACTTTAAAAGAAATAAAAACTTAAGATTTGTCATTGAAATCCAAACCCAATAAATATGCCATTACATCTTCCATTTCAGTGCTTCTCATAGAAAAGTATCACAAGTGCAACTTTCCCAAGCTGTGGTTTGCTAGTGCTTTTAAAGGAGCAACCGGGGCAAATCAGTCTCTGACCCATATTGGACATCACTTAAAAAACCATCTCCAGTGGCTGAAAGTGGCACACAGTGGCCATGCAGACATGCTGCAGGGCATTGCTCTGACTGGCTGGCAAAGGTAAGGGCAGATTTCTACATGAAACACAAGTAAAAAAATCTTCCAGGTGACAGCATCAAAAGAAGGCAAGGGAGGGGAACCAAAGACCCACAGGGGAAGCCTGACATAATGTAACACCGTCTGTTAGGTTTGCTTCTAGCTCCTGTCCACCTGACTCTATGTATAGTGTTGATAGATTTCAGTCCCAATTGTCCCCATGCCTTGGAAGGACTAAGGCTGTGGAGGGAGGATAAAAATGGTAAAGGGAGAGGACTAAAACATCTTCAGGCCTGTACCCAAATGATAAATTGCCACACCTGGGAATAGATGCTTAACATAGAAAGAATAACCTGCTACATCCTTAACCACTGGACCTGTGATTTGTTGCTTACAGAATTAACTAGCAGCAAAGGCCAATAAGGGAGACACTTGCAACAGTGAGGTCCTGAGGCAGAGTGAAGGGTTACACTGTGAACATTAACTGTTTTAGAAGCCCTTAGGATTGGATTTTCAAGAAAGACCATTCTGCATATGAAGAGAGGGCATTTTCTTCAGATACTATCCCGATTTTTAGGGGTGTGCTACTATGATAGCCATAATGGTACAGGAACTATAGGAGAGGCAAAGATTTTTTGAGGGTGATATACTTCACTGAACCAACTGTATTGGATCAGCTGGATGTCAGTTTGTCTAATAAAATACATAACCAAATTCCTGATTTGTAACACACATAGGAACTATTTTGTATAAACAGATGGTGTGATGAGCATGAATGAGGAAACTACAGGGGTAAAAGATGACCTTAAAATGATTGCAGTCTAACTTTGATAGGACCTGTTATTTTTATCTTTCGAAGTACAAATATTTTAGCAGGGTGAGGTTTCACAAACTCTTACAATCCAGTAAAACCCTTAACATTTAGGGCTTCACTACAGACACTTCAACAGATAGTTAACTAGCTTTGGAAGGAGTTACTTTAATATCAAAGGAAAGGAATGGCAGAATTAAAGGCATTACAGGGTGTATGTCCAACCTTAAAACTGGTTTCAAGTACCATGAATCAGCATGAGGAAATGATAGTAAATAAGGAGTAAGTAAAGGTGCAGTCTGATGTCATCGTAAATTCCCCCATCAGTAAATATGGATTATTGTACAGGTTCTTCTCAGAGTCTGTAACAATGTATCTTCTCAGAAAATTATGTTTGTAAAGCACTTTGAGATCACTGGATACAAGCCTAACATTTTATATTATCAAAGTACTGTTCACAGTACAGCATTTAATGGAGGGACATTTTCTTTTCAGGTATGACCACTTCTCTGTTTTGTGTGAGCTGCTCCCAGTGGGAATCCCATCGCTGGCTGTATGTCTGCAGGCACTAGAGAATGGTACACAGTGACATCTGCATACTCCCTCACAGCTAATGCCCAATCCAAAAAAAATTAACTGTGCCTAAAAGTCTGCAGGATCAAACCATCTCAAAATTTTATATACATGTCTGATCACGAAAAACACTACTAGTATAATTCCATGTGCTTTGTATCCCCATAGGCATGAGTCTCTTAATAGCAGTTGCCACATTCTTACAATGTGGGCAGGTTCACATGCAACCTTATAAGCCCTTTAATTTAAAATAATTATAAAATCTTATAATGCCTTCATGGAGGTCATAACTGGACACTTATTACATGCTTAATTCCTTTTAGCATAGGACAGGGGTTCTCAAACTGTGGCAACTTAAAAAGGGGTCACAAACCCATACGCTGCTGCATGGGCACACAGGGGATCCCTCCACTCATCAATTGGCCACTGTGGGGGGTCACCGTATCGCAAAGTTTGAGAACCCCTGGCATAGGAATTTCTTTTGAAGCTGATTTGATTCATGCCTCTTACATAAATGACTAATTGATTAATTATCCAAATCACAATTCCCTCAGGTCTTGTCTACCTATAAAACTTGTTCTGTTTTAACTATACTGATATAGTTAAAGGTATTCAGCCATGTTAGCGTGCATGTAAGTATATTGCTGTAAAGATCATAGGTATTAGGTTGCCTTTAGACCTCCTAACTATCCACATTAGTGACTGCATCAGCATAACTATTTCAGGTAAAATAACTAGACCCCCCTAATCAAAACAGTTGAGTGGTACAAAATCTATGCAGATTAGGTTTTAATCTAAAATGTTAATCCTGGAGTACCTTTTGGTCTTGCAACATTTCTTGAGAAAACAACCTCCTGATTTTTTTGTAAAACCTGAATGTAGCTGGAAATAGAGGGGAAACCCCAGTATAAGAAGTGCTTATGGCAAGAAGAAACCTGGGCTGGCAGCAGTAGTCTCTAGTGTGGAAACTGACTGGCAAGGCTTTTTTCAAGCATGAGAATTAGCAAACTGTCCTGAACTCCATAAGCAGAGATTTCAGAATTCCTAGCATTGTCTCAGCTCTAATTTCTATTTAAGTACACGTTTTACTTTTAACTGCATAAGGAGAGGACTTGGGCCAACACCAAGTGCTTCTGAAAATCCCTCAGAAAAAGTATGGTAAGGATTGGAACCCCCTGACATTTATGGCTTCACTTTTTCTCTGTTCCCCTTTTACTTACTGCACTTGTCCTCTTCTCAGATGGCTATTCTGAAATGGTTAAAGAAAATGTGGAAAAATACCTGGGGATTTCCAATCTGGAAACTGACACTTTCATGAGGTAAAGCCTCAATCACTAGATTCAGATGCTTCTCTTTGTGGCAATGTCAAGGACTGACAGAGATTCTCTTTGCACAGTGCAAGTCAGGGGACCTTTCCAGGAAGTGACATCTTCACCCTTGTGACTCAAGTTGGCTTCTACCTGAAGCCCTCAGTGGATGAACTTCTTGAACAAAACAGGTGAAAAGTTAAAGAGTTTCTTGCCAAATGAAAGTAATGTGCCTTTGATGTATAGAAGTACAAAATTCAAACAGCACTTGTGAACTTCATGATGGCTAAGATATTACATGGCCCTCTGCTCTGAAACAGGAATCTCAGTAGAAGGTAAGCCATTTAGGGCTGGATTCAGCAAGCACCTGAACACCACAGCCACCTATATATAGCATAGTACGTGATTATATTCTTTAGCTCAGTGTCCAACCTGCAGCACACGTGGTACAGGCAGCCTGTGTGTGTGGCACATGGCAGATCAGGGAAGGGGCAGGCAGCACAGTGGCAAATATGGTAAGGAGCAGAAAACAGAGTGGAGGATCAGGCAGAGGAAGAGGATGCACTGGGGGAGGGTGCAGGGCTTAATTTGTGGCACACCTGCCAAGAAAGTTGGCATCCACTGCTTTAGCCAAATCAGGGCCTTGCTGTCACTGAAAGCAAAACATCTTCTTTGAAAGTTAGTGTAAAGCAGACTAATGTGTGTTATGGCAAAAATGCCCCAGTCAGTCCCACCCTGCAAGGCTAAGACCAAATTCAAAGGGTAACATTTTGCTAGACATACGTAAACCTACTCTGCCTCTGCGTAGGGGAAATCCAGCTTAAGTCATACCACTTCCGCATTTAGCCTTCATGTACGTTTTCCTGTTCACCACTCTGTGATTGCTGTTCCAAAGAACATTCACATTTAGATTCATTTTCAGGTATGTCACAGGCTGGTTCAGCCCCTATCACAGAGAGAGGAAGATTGTTCATCCTATAATCATACATCACTTTCAGCCAGATGTACTAAGGTAACTCAACACCCCACTTTGCAATAGACAGGAAATTAAGTCATAATTTTCATGTGCTCTGGTGACTACTGAAACTTGAGGTTTCAAGTCCTTGCAGTTTTCCATGATTAGTGCTTACATACCACCATTTAAAATAAAAGAAATCCAGTTTAAAACAAATTAATTTTCCCCGCTAAAAAACATAGCCATTCCACTCAGAGATTGGATTATGTGCCAGACTTTACCTAGTGCTTTTCATCTTTGAAGAGAAAATTATCATTCCCATTTTAAAGCTGGCAAAAGACTTGACCAAGGTTGCACAAGAAGCCAGTAGTTAGGGCCTAAGAGAGAACCCAGGTTCCCCCCATGCCAGTTCAGTGCCCCAAGCAATTCTTTGGCCCTTTCAGGAGCTACTTCATTGATTTTTGTCTCTCCAGTCAGTTTTAAATTATTACTATGGTGGGAGGATATCGAGCCATATAGATTCTTTTAGTGCTCAGATTTAAATCCCTACTAATCAAAGTTAGGTTTTAATTAGGCTTAAGAAAGAATACTCAGTCCCTATATAGAACTGTTGGTTCTGCAACTCTTTTTCAAGGTCACCATATTAAACATAGGCCAAGATCACAGTTCCAGAAACCTAACCTACAGTCCAGTAACCTCAACATTTCACCAGCCTACAGGGTAAAATGCATCAAAATTCTATACAATATCCACCCTTTCCTGGAGAAAGAGGTGCAACATTAAAGCCTTGGAACTGTACCTCTATGAAAAGGGTAACCTGTTCAGCCAGGGCTTACTTGCAAATGTGGTGGGTTCTGAAAAGTATTATGTACAGCAACACCCTGTTGGCTTCTTCCTTTTGTTTCTGCTTAGTCTTCTCTCCAAGTGGAATGCCTTGGCACAAGACCTTCAAGTAGCCATGGAGAGAGTTTTCTACTTATGTACTATAGAGGAGTGGATGGAGGAGAATGTCCATCCCAGCCTACAAAAACTTCAGCAAGTGATGAATGACTTGGATGCAGCAATACAAGCACAATCATAGCTGCTCTCTAACTGCAGACTGATTCATCTGAGACCCTGCTGGCTGCAAAATTATGAGTAATCACATAACCAGGGCTAAATCACCCCTAGAATAGTGCAGGCAACTCTGCTGAAAACAGCTGTAGACACTAGCAAGGGATTTATGCTAGCATGAGAGAGTATGAGGATTTGGGGTTTTGTTTTCACTTCTAACAAATGATTAGCTTCTTTCAGAGGCTGAAAATACACCAAACGTCAGTAGTGGACTAGACTTACTCCACTGTATAACAGGGAAGACAGGAATGGGGCCAAGCTCAGTTGTGTTCATTATATTAGAAGGGTTGAAAGGATATAGATTTATCCAGATTCAAATCAATAGTGATATGCTTTCATGAGGTAAAGGCAAGTAGAAATGGTAACATGACAAACTTCACTTGCTGATTAGCTTGGTAACTTCTCCCTCCCAGTACTTGGAACATTTGAGTTTGACCTGATTTCAAAGTGTGCTCATTTTACAATAAATATTTGAAACACCTGTAAATTATTTGCATTATATGCTGCTTGCTTGAAACTTGTAAGTATGCAGGAACCCTCAGGAAGGATTATGGGTAAGTTGTAATATCTACTGTGAAAGACATATATATTTGACCTATTAATAAATTTATCAGACCAGAAAAAGGAGGAGTATGATATGAGTTAAACCCTGTAAAGTAAAGAATAACAACATTTAGCCTGTGCTTTCTGTGTTATATTCATTCAGCTTTTGGTTAATTAAAGGTAGCACCCTTTGTCTGAGTTTAGAACGCCTTAGAAGTTTAAGACCCAAGATCCACTTGCTTTTAGAAAAATGTCACAGGTTTTGCACACACTCAGTGTAGCAAGTTTTCTTTGAAGGAAAAAAATATCTTACCACATAAGACAGACAATTACAAGTATATCAATTTTACATACAGACAAAGGAGTTATTGCACCAGATTTCTATTCTAATTCATTATTTATATTTGAAAACATGATTAGAAAACACAACTCCTTAGTATATTTGCATCCTGGTAAGCAGCTGAACAGCCATCAAGTTTTAATAGCAAACAGTCAATGAATAAAGAATGCCAAATCTACATTAAAAAGTTATCAAAACTGGTTTCTCTGAAACATTGGCAACTTAAAAAAATTGCAACATACAAGAATGACTTTCTAAATGCTTCTTGCAAAAATGTCAAAAAGCAAACGTGACACAGAAACGTTCCACTTCTTTTTCAGGAGTCTACTGAAATCATAACCGATGCTCTTTATTCAGATGTTAAAAACAAACCGACTGAATGATATTATAGGAGATTCACAGGTTAGGTCTGAATCATGACACTTGGCAAGGAAAACAGAACTTAAATTACCATTTAAGAACCCTTTGTGGGAGTTGTGGATTTGGTACCAACTGCTGGAATTTTTTTTAAGTGAACATAAAAGGAATTCAGTTGCCAGGGTTATGTTACTCCCTCACCTGGAATGTTTCATCTAGTTTTGTTCAGTACAGTGACATAAGCTAAATCTTCTGAATACATGATTAACTTCAAGTAGGCTTGTGGTTTCAAGTAAGGCTACTCAACTTGCAAATTAAAGGATTTGCAGAATTGTGACTTAAGTCCTTTAATATGCTTACTTTGTACAAAAAAGTAAAGGTCAGCAATGTCCTCACCGATTTGTTCAGTTTTGCAAGTTAGATTTCCCACAGATTTTTTCTAAAATGTGAAACGCAATCCGGATGTATCCAACAGCTAGACTGAATGGGAAGAATTCATTATTCATTGAGAAGTAGCAAGATCAGCAAAGACTTTACAAACACTTTTGCATGAAGAAGAGGTAAATCCACTGGCAAATTCTGAAAACAAGTGTGTATTTAATAATTTTTCATCTTAGGTTGCACTGAAGTTCTTTCCCCCAGCCAAGAGGCAGTAACACTATGTGCCAAGCTGCCTGTTACATTTGTAGGGTTAAAGGCCTGGCCTGTAGACTGTATCCTGCCTGAGGTATCTAGCTCCTATCGCAGTCACTTGGTTTGCAGAATTTAAGACTTTGCTTAAAAGCTATTCCAGTTCTTAGAGTGGCCAGAACAAAATTAAGGTCTCCAAATAAAAATATAAATCAAAACCAGCACAGGGGATAGCACTAGCTCTTGTTTTCAGCCTGTGGTCCACAGATCCCTAAGGGTTCCCTATGTCTAAGGGATCTAAGGGGGTCCACAAAAAGCAACTGATCAAAAGTATGCGAGTACCCACACCTACAATTTAAAGGAGTCCGTACCTCCACTCAAAATTTCCAAAGGGGTCTGCACCTCTATTCAAAGCTTTTAGGTGTCTAGAAATGAAGAAAAGGTTGAAAACCACTGCACTAGCTTGTTCAGATGCAGGTTGGGGGCGTTAAATGTTCAGTTACTGTAGAAGAACATAGTATAGTGTGTTTGTAAGGATGTTCTATGTATGTAAACCTGTGGACTCAAACTAAGATGACTAAGCACCAGTCTGATAGGTGCTGGATAAATATCTCAGGCAGCATTCAATCTGTAGGCCAGGCCTTTAACCCTACCAATGTAACTGGCACTTTTCCAGCCTCAACCTTAATATAGATTTCTCACTGTTGTTAGTAGGAGATCTGCTGGGTACTAAGAGGAGTCTGTGGCTCAAACCTTAGAGGCTTGGTCCATTCCAAGGAATGAGTCTGAGGCCATTATGCTGAACTCTCCAATCAAGTCTCCCACATTTCAGATATTAGCATTTATCCCTCAATGTGGAGTGTGTAATCCTTACGTCAGACATGGTGATGGACGAAGAGAATGCCCAAAATTAACACCCAAAGGATGGGAGGGGAGACATGCGCAAGAAATCTCTTGACTGTATCATTGTGGATTATGGCCCTGGGAGAATTGGGCAAATAGTATTACCTTAATAAGACTGTCATTTCAAAATCAAATCCAAACACACAGAGTATAGTTTGTATCTTCCATGTGCCATCACCTGTTGAGGACAAAAAACAAAGCCCTAACTGCCAAGATTAAGCTGATGTTCTGAACATAGTACAGTGCATCTGTAAGGATGTTCTACATATGTAAACCTGTGGACTCAAAGTGACTAAGTATTACATCCTGCCATTCTGCACCACCTCTGCTTCAAAGAGATAAGTATTTGAAGATGGACCTTTGGCTCATGACAAATACCTAGCTCTTTATATAGTGCTATTCATCAGTAGATCTCAAAGTACTTGACTACAGAGGACAGTGTCATCAGCACCTCCGTTTTACAAGTGGGGGAACTGAGGCACAACGGTGCCAAATGGTTTGTCCAGTGTCACCCCACAGAGCTGGCACAGAATCCAGTTCTCCCAACTGCTTGTCCTGTTCTCTACCCAGAAGCAATGCTATCCATGATAAAAAAAAAAATGGAGTAAATTTAAATAAAAGGTCACTTTCAGGTGTTACTATCACATTATGAATGTTTTGTGGATTTGAGTATCCCTCTCTACCTCTGTGAAAAATATGCCTTAATCTAATTTAGGCTTTATTCCTAAATCGTCAAATCATTGCTATTCATTAGTACTTCTGATTTTCTAACCCTAAATGGTGAGAGGCAGGGTTGAGTCACGTGATATGCTGGCTAATTGATACGGGGCTTCTTCACAGGCACCTGGACTGGCAGACATTTGCTTAAATGTTTAGACTTGCAATTCATCTTTTTCAGTTTATTAATAAAGGTGGACCACGTTCCTTCTAAACAGCAGCCACCTGCTCCATTCCTTTTGATCTGCCTGGTAACAGCAATTGTATTCCTACTACGATTCAATTCCCATTTGAAGTCAGCAGCAAGAACAAGACACTCTCTCACCTGTGTATGCTAGACTCTTAAGGCTGGAAGTAAAAAGCACAGGTTAG